TAGGTTAGGAGTCGAGGCCGTTGTATCGGGCCAGGGGTTCGGGTCTCCACTACCCTGTACCCCGGGCTGCGTGGTTTTATGAGGTCCAGGTGGGTCATGGCGAGAGTATGTGGCTTAAGGCTCGGTCAAGAGACGACTCGGGTGGCCAAAGGTGTGCCCAGAATATCGGACGGGCTTTGGCCACCGTTCCGAGGACGTGCAGGAGCCGGAGTGACTATAGCCGGGGCAGGCGGGGTGATTGTGCCCGGGTGTTGATCGAGAAGGGGAGCTCGCCGGCGGGTCCGAAAGTGCGCGCGTGAGAGAGGTGTAAGAGCAATTAAAATCAAGGATGGGCTCTTGAGTTGGGGCTCTTGAGGGCTCGTCCGGCTCAGGGGAGTAGGGATGTGGAGGGGGGGGGATAACTGGCCAGATGGTGCACGCGCTCCATGCTCAGGTCTAAGAGCTGACTGGCCAGGTGGTTGCGTTCTGGGTCGGACAGATGAAATTCTCCTTGAAGCTGGAGTGGTTCTCTTTTACGGGGAAGGGAGTACGCTGGCAGAAGCTGCCTTGCCTTGTGTGTGTGTGTGCGTTTCTGTGTCTGTTTGCCTGCTTATGTGTGTGTTCTTCTCTGTTTGGTTGTGTATGTGTCGATTGGTTGGTTAGCTGGCCTGTTTGTTTATTTGCGTGCGCGCGTGCGTGTACTCGCTTCCTTACGAATTTCTTCGTTCCTTTAATAACTGACTTTGCATACGATGCCCTTCCCGAAACTAACGAATAGGAAAAAAGAAAGATAGAGATGAAGAGAAGGAGGAGATGGAAGAAGAAAGAGGAGGAGGAGGAGAAGGAAAGGGGGGGAGAGAGGAGGTCAGTGGGGGTCAAAAGGTGAAGATAGTGGGCAGGTAGAGAGGACCAAGGTAGCGATCAGTTGGGTGAGTGCGTGCTTCATGGGGAAAGTAGAGAGAGAGAGGGAGAGGGAGAGAAAAAGAAATAGAGAGAGAGAGAGAGAGAGAGAGAGAGAGAGAGAGAGAGAGAGAGAGAGAGAGAGAGAGAGAGAGAGAGAGAGAGGGAGGGAGGGAGGGAGGGAGGGAGACAGGAGGAGGGGGGAGGGGAAAGAGAGAGAGAGAGAGAGAGACGAAGGGAGGGAGGGAGGGAGGGAGAGAGAGACAGAGAAAGGAGAGAGGTAGCGGGGGGGGGGGGCAAGAAAGACACGGGCGGTGGAAAGGATTACAACGGTAAGATGGCGGTTATCAGCGGCAACAGCGGTGCAGCAGCTTCAAGCTGCAAGATGTAAAGAGTAGCATGACAGGGACACCGACTCTGTCCTGTTCGTACTGCTCATATCTCCTCACGTGCGGTACGTGCTGCTCGTGCGTACCTCGCTCGTGCTCGGACTACAGAGGAACACAGCTTCCGGCTCAGCGATCGAGATCAGGATGAGCGCTACAGCAGCCTCTGGCTACAGGGGACGCCAGAGAGCTCCGCTTCCCGCACTGTAGTAAAGGGGATGGTGACGGGGATGGAGGCCAATGATGGTGAAGTGGCGGGGTTGCAGTGACAGCAGTGGGCAGTGGGCACGGAAGCCGAGTGTCGTTCTACCCATCGCCGGGGCGGACGGCGGTTGTACGAGGAAGGAGAGCGAGTGTGATGAGACTTGTGTATGAGAGGCAGAAAAAGAGGGTGAGCAGTGGCCGTGTTGCAGTGAGTGTAGCGCCTTAAGAGGATGGAGAGATACTGTGGTCGTAGGACTGACCGTGTGGTGTGTATGGTTGATAAGCTGAGCGGCCTGGCAGTGTTGCACTCGCCCTTCGGTGATTGATATGCAAGGTGCGCCCCTCGGAGCATGGCACTTCCGGGCCCCCGAGAGCAGGAGAGGCATCGGGAAAGGGTGACGAAGGTGAAGAGGGAGGGCTGGGAAAGAGGGAGGCTGGGAAGGAGAGGTGGAGGGGGTCCTATTGCGGCGGTGCGCTCGTACGTCTGGCAGCGGCGCGGCTGAAGGGTTGGATGCCACACATTCCGACCCAGGCTTTTTGTGGCACCGTTCTCCGCCTCAACCCATTTTCTGCAAA